TGGGAAGTCGTTCTCCAGCATGGCTGGCCGAGAAGGTTGCGGTGCTTGAAGTCAGCAATTGGTTCCGCTGGGTCAGGGGTGTGGTAAGACAGGGACAGAACTGGCGGGAGTTGAGCCCGGGAGGAGCTGCTCTTTTTGTATTTATTTTCCGTGTTTTGTATCGCGTGGGGCGATTTTGAGACCCTAATTTGAACAGACTTTCCTTAGAAACTCTTCAGATTCGGGGCATTCCCTTTAGCAGCTTAATTCTGCCTTGCCAGCTCTACTAACACCTATACATAGGGTCCTGCTGTAAAGTGAAGCACTGAAGTCATTCCTTCACGTCAGAGTTGCACTGGTTCTGCTGCACGGGCAACTGCACGGCAGGAATGTGAATGAATGGGGAAAAGTGGGACAGAAGTTGTTTTCTTTTTTTTTCTTGAGCTCATTTTTCAGTTTAGGTTCTGCGTTACCGATGTCTGGCTATGGTATAACTGGTTTCTGCAAGAACACTTTCAAAAAATGGCAGCAATGGAATTGAAAACTTAATTTAGAGTTAATAGTTTTAATTATATTGTTGTAGAATTCTGTGGTACCTGCTGCCTAGTTCTACTCTTTCCGTATGTTGTATAAAATATTAATTCCTTAGTGTTACATATACAGTGATATTATAAATACAATAATTTTCTGGACATGACCTTCATTCTCCTTTTACTTTTCTTTTTTCAGATTCCTGAGAAGTCAGACTTTTTAAATAGAAACTTCCAACTTGAGCTATGTCAGAATCATTTTCCGAGCTTTAAAACTTTAGCATTTCAGGGTTTCATAATTATCATGAGGGGTGTATTTACTGCTTCTTAGAAGGAACTTGAGCTCTGATATTGCCTTAAAATCATGGACAACTGGGAGCCTGTAATGCATGATGTATTTTCATAGCATAGCTACTCTGGTCACAAAATGAAGTGCTGCTGAAAGTAGCTTGCTCATGCCTTGTAATGCGTTTCTGCCTCTTACTCTCGTGCTAGTTTAACCCCATGACTAGTCAATTTAGAGAATTAAACCAGAAGAAAATGAACCTGTTTTGTTTTTTGTAGGGTTAGCTTTTCACTGATACAATTCCCTGAACAGGTTGTGATGGAGGAAGAAAAAGTTTCACAAAGCAGCAGAATTGTGTGGCAGGGCATTAGACCATGATTGACTTTCTTGGTGGTGTTTCTCTGTTAGTTTGATGTTACAGTTAGTCAGAGCTGTGTCCTCATTTGAGCTGAAGGATTATGGGGACTGGCAACAATAAGAAAATTATTTGAAGACACACTATGACTGTGTTTTAATTTATCTATTTATTTTCTGGATCAGATGGAGACAATGGACAATGACACACCCCCTTTTCTCACTGAAAGCTTGGAGATGGCAATGGAAGTGGAGGATGAGAACTCAAAGCCACCTTGTTTTTCCTGTGCTTGTGACAACCAAAATGGAGGCAGAAGTTTCTCTGCAGAGTCTTATTTAGCAAGTGGGTCTCTCAAGAGGTATGGATTTTTTTTTTGAGTTACAAATATAATAACTTTCTAAGATGTTCTTTCCACTGATGTTTGGTGCCTTTAAGTGCTGACAGGGTTTATCAGTTTGTTCTTTAGCTCTTATGATCCTGAGATCAACTTGGTGCTATACCAAAGCAGGAAGGGCAATTGTGTTGATACACTGCTTTAAACAGCATTCTAGGTCCAGTTCCTAGCTTTGTGTACCTACTTTAAGGTACTGTAAAGGACCTGTTATAGGCCTGTTAGGACACTTCAAAATTGCCCTGTTGGGCAACAGCATCGAAGACCCCTGAAATTTCTGAGGAGGCTGCAGCACTGCTTTTTCCAGTCATATGCTCTATTCAGTGCTGGCTCTTTGGCTTTTTCTCTCTTTTCCACTTGCTAGAAACAAACCTGCTCTGCTCAGGCTCTCCAGATCACTGGGACTGTCCTTTGTAGTTTTAAGACCATCTTTCTCAGAGCTCTGCTTTTGCATGTATTCTGGATTTAAGGTTCAGAAGTCACATACATAACAAACAAGTATTTTCTGTGAGATTCTAGAATGTTACTTTGGTTTAATTAGTATCTTCTTTACTGTCTGTGGTCCAGCTTAGTTTTCTGTGCCATTTGATGATCCTGCAGGGGTTGTCTTGTTTTTCCTACAACAGCATAAATCAATCTGTCTGTCCTGCCAAGCCTCATATTTTGCATTGTTACTTTGGGTGTTTTTAGCCTTCATTTCCACAGCCTTTTCTGGAAAGTCTTAAAAGGGGATTGTGCTGCACCTCCCCCATTCCCTACCTTCTTTATGTTTTTTGTTTTGGTTTTGTTTGGGTTAGTTCTTTTTTGTTGTTGTTGTTGGATCAAAGCACATTCATTCAAATTGATGTCACGTAGAGGATTGAGAGAGCTTGTGTCTGCATGAACATATCAGTAGTGGATTCCATGCTGACAAAGAAGCATTTCATGACAGAAACAATTTCATGTGAAAACTCATTCAGGAGCTTGTACGTAGACAGGTTTCCCAGATCGCTACAGTCATGATAATACTGTTCTCCTGCCATTTATTCACCTTGTTTAAGAATTTACTTGGATGGTAAATTCTTAGAAAAGCCTGCATGTGAGGGACTCCTCTGTTGTCATTATCTAGAGCTGGAGTAACTGGGTTTAATTGCTAAAGACTTCAAAACAGACCAATGTTTAGGCAGTAACCAAGTGAACTACAGGTGTTGTGGGAGATTGAGCTGACTATTCAGCAGATGCTCTTTTTACCTCTGAGAACTGAATAGTTCAAGAAGGATATGAATTTGCTATGTAATATAATGAAAACCAAGTGCTTGCCCTGTAAGTTATTTTTTAAAACAGACATATTTCTTGTATCTTAGTGAATTCAGCTTCACCTACACTGAAGTATTTTATGAAAGTCAGTGGGAAATTTCTGAAATAACTTAGTCATTGGTGTTATACAGCTTGCTGTGATTTTTTTTGAAAGCACATTAGTGAAATATTTTCATATTTGCAGAATTAGTAATATTTTAACAATCTATACAGATGTCTGATTTTCTTCACTTTGAGTAAAATGTTAATTCTGATTTTATTTATTTTTTCTTTAGACAGAGCAAAGGGTAGTCGTGGCCTAGTCTTAGTTTGAGTTATAATAATTAAGTCTTAGTTGAAGTTACAATAATGAAGTCATAATTTGTGACCCTCATCTGTTACCTACCTAAGAGTGCTTTTATTAATGTGTTTTTATCAATGTGTTCTATATAAATATTATTAAATGTATATAAAGGACCAAATGTATGTTCTAGTGTTATTATTAAGCATGTAGTGTACATCGAGACACATTCCAAACACACACTTACAGTGGAGCATGTTATTTTATGTAGCAGGCTCTTCTATTAAAGACAGTCTGTATGTTATGTCTCAGCCCCTTTGTAAAAGGTTGAAGATGCTTCAAGGTGGTAGCTTGTTAATCTTTATTTGCTTCAAAAGTATACTGTGGCCTCTAACTATATCATGGTTTTATGCTCTTTAAGCTAGTAGTTGTCATATTTTATGTACTATATATTATATTGCTATAAAAGGTATAACGGTCTGTCTTTTGAGAGCACTGCTACTCCTTTCTACCTATTGTATACATGTTGCTGATATATTGATAAAATATCAGTGATACATAAGCCAACTGTAGGTACTGTATTCTATAGGTCTGTTACTGGGGAATGTATTAATATTGTTGACTCTATTTTACAGAGTTTTGCTGAGACTAGATCCTTCTCCCAATGACTATGAAGAAGATGTAGTGGAAATGTTTGGCTTTCAGTGGGTTACTGAAACAGCATTAGCTGAATCCTGTGGACTTCTCTTTGGATTACATAGGTATAATAATTTTAATGTATTTTATAATTATCCACTTCTGTATTTATACTCACCTTAAGCATGTAACAAACTTTTCAAGTTTTTATAGTAAAATCATAAAATATTGTGGGCTGTGCAATACATTCAAAAAGATTATGCTGTCTCTCTAACACTCCAGTAAGCGATGGATAAGACACAGACGGAATTACGGAAAGAAGTAAATTTTGTGTCACAGATTTTTAATATTAAGTGACTTAATAATAAGTTTCTAAGCAGTGTGGTGCATATCTTAGTTAATCAATTTTTATGTTGTGATGACTATAGTTATTACAACAATGTTGTGATTAATTTAAAAGGCTCTGGCTTCAGAATATATGCATAAACTATATAAGATTTCCTTGAATGAGATTGTGCTGCCCATATAATTACAGTTGTCTTTTGAAGATTTTAAGTCCTTTTTTTGTGCAAAAAGAGAAGTGGAGGTTAAAAAATCAAATACTGTAAATGCTGGATGCAGCACTTTCTTCAATTGTTTGGATTAGGATAGCTTCAGCAATCTCTTCAGATACAGTTACTCAGTGTTTGACTAATTCAATGTAGATGTTTAATCTGGTCAATGCAAATACACAGATCACTGATAATCCTCTTTGCTACTGATAATCCTCAGGATGTACAGCACATACGGAGAGTGGATGGGAGAGCAGTTCTTGTATGATGCAACAAATATGTGATATGTTCCATCATTCCTTTTATTGTAGTGGATTCTTCCATCCCTTTAGGGTATGACCAGGGGCATGATGTGAAACATCATTAGTAGGGTCTGGCTTATTGAAACATGATGGCACAGGTGGCAGGAGGTATCTTAAAACCAGTATTGTTTGGCTTTGCTTGTTTGATGCAAGCTTTGACTTCACCGTGATTTAAAAAAAAAAAAAATTAAAAATCTGATAATGAATGAGATAGGATAACTTAGTTAAAAGAAACACTGTATCCCTTTCAGCATTTAGTCTGATCTGTTTATTAACTGTTTATTATCATAAAATCACTGGGCAGTGAGACAGTGATGTAGTCATCTTGTTGAATTAAATCAATTTTTTTCTGTAATACAAACTGCTCTGTAATTGTAAGAGGTGAACATAAGGCATAATATATTTTAATGCGTTTTTTTAAGTTATTCAAGCTATACATGTTTTAAAACCTACTGAACTGGTAGGAATAATGGATTTCAGCTAACTTTTGGCTAAGATAGTTTGGTTGCTAAGCTGTCTTTTGGTGTGACAAGTCCTTCTGCAAAGATATTATCTCTTTCATTTGTGCAGTCATAAAATGGAATGCTTTCATTTATACACCAGTTAATAACTGAAAGAAGGAAAACTCCTTTTTCCATTATAGAAATCATGTGTGTTAAGTACAAGTTATAATGATTCTTGAGGACAAGATGGTTGTAAATAGTTCAATTTTTAAATTTCAGATAATGTCTATGTTTAAATGCATGCTTGCAGAAACCTGGTATTTTTAATGTATGTGTAAATATTAAAGATTGTTATTTAATATTTTAAAAATAATTGTAACAAATAATAGTCTTATACAGCAGAACTGCAAGTTAAAAACATTAATTGCACAGTAAAAAGAATTCCTACCTGTGATTTTTCTATATGATTGAAAATGTGAGTCGAGTGAGAGCTATGTAGCCATTTGAGTGGGTATATTAAAACAATATATGTTTGATTAATAAACAGAAGTACTAGTTTAACTGTCAGAATATTTACTTCCAAATCAAATGACTTGATCGTCATGGTTACTAGTCATTAATCTTTGAGATACAAATGCAAATTGAAATTAAAATTACTTAACTGATGACATCTTTGTTATGCCTCTCATATTTTATCAGCCCACTATATTCTGTCTCTTGTCAATTCAGTAAAGTCGTCTTTTTTTATTTTTTGTGTGTGGCTCCTTTCTGACACTGTCTCTAACCTTCAGCCTCAACAGCCCTCTTTCATAAAGTCCTCTTGCTTTAGACTTCCGTCATTTCCACATGGTTGAAATAGTCGAAAAATTCATGCAGAAATTCAGCTTTGATTTCAAAACAAACAAAAAAGTCCACAACCTACTTAAATGGCTGAAGGTAGTCTTTGGTAGCGGACATGATTTTAGCTAAGGGAAGACCTAAGGGAGACAATTTTAACATGTGCCTGCCCCTTTTAGTACGCAAGTTGTAAATCTGGGTTGTTGTATCCTTGTGGGCCCTTCCTAGTTTAAATTTTCTTTTTTTTTTTTTTTTTGTAAGAACATTTGATCTGGGTTGGGTCCAAGTATCCTGTTTTTGAATCCTTCAGTAGCTGCTGCTTTGACTGTATAAGAAATGAGGCAGAGAGCTCCTTCCTCAATTTATGCAACATTTTCTTTTAAAAGTCTTACACAGTTGTGCTTTTCATGTATTCAGCTTAGTACCATGTTATCTCTGTGGAGACTATACTTGAAGACCACTTGAAAATAACATTTGCAGAATATGGCTGAGTACTCACCTATGTTACAGCTTTTTTAAAATTTTCATTTCCAGTGGCAGTTAGCAGCATCTTTAAAAACGCTCTCTCTCCCCTTCAAAACAGAACTGAGATTTAACTTTTCTAGAGACACTTTCTCCTTTTACTCTACTATGTTTGTTGCTGTCTATCTTTTGTGCTCAAGTTAAGCATCAGACCACCCTATGCAGGAGGTGGGAAAAGTTGCTGACAAAATTTACTAGTGCTTATTCACAAGTGAATGATTTAGGTATACTGAGTGTATGCCACCAGGACTAACTTTCAGGTTTATTCTGTGTTCAAATATGAAGTTGTTACACTTATGGAAAGATCGCTTATAGCAAATAGCTTTCAGTGTTTTGTGTGTGTGGTTGTTTTTTCCTCTCCTGGTATTTAACTGATTTTGTATTTGTTGTTACTGTGTTTTAATGTTTTTAAAAACAAACAAAAATACTACCCCTTGTCATTCCTTCACACTTGGATGTGTCTATTGCCTTCCACTAATACTTTTTCCTAACTTACGTTTCTGTAAACTCTTTCAGAAATACAAAGCAAGGAACACCTCTCACCTCTCTCTGTTCTATTTAGACCTTACTAAAACATAGTTCAACAACTTTTACCTATATAAATACTATAAATCTTTGTATTCCTTTAATTAGGCAACAGATATACAGACTGGAAAACCTAGTACAAATGAGTTCATCTGATTTGGGTAAGTTTAACACATTTAATTTCACGTTGGGATAGGTATCTGACTAACTTTTCATTATAGAAGTATATTATCATCGATCACACTTGTGCTTTGACTCTTGACCAAGGGCTCATGGGGTGTGCCACATGTGTGGTAAGGGTACAAATATAGGTAACCAAGTGATGTAAGGTAGTGTGAAAATAGATAGTGGAAATATTGTGAGTCAGCCTGGAACCAGATCTGCCTGTGTAGTAGGTGCACAGGGCAGTCCTTACATTACTGACCTTAGTGGTGAATTTCGTGTTAATTTGACTTAAGCTGTTATCCCTAAGGTAGAATTTGGCAAAACTATTAACTCATTTAATTAAAAAATAGAAAGTTGCATCAAAAATCCCAGTAACTATTTTAGTTTCAAAGGTAGCAGCTTGGGACTTTTTTCAGTGTTCCTTTGTCTTACATTTAAAACAAGTTGTTTGTTTAGTTTAGAGTTATTTACAAACTTAATTTATCTTTGCAGCAGGATCAATAAAATGGAAACAAAGCATTTGTAGTGATCCAATTAAATACTAAGGCATGAGAAGCAGTATGTTTCTGAAGGATTATTGCAGCCTTGGGCTTATTGTAAGTTTGAAGGCTGAATCGCTTAGCAAGTTGAGAAGTTCAGTAATTACTCAGAAATAAACTGTATGTACTTTTAGAACACTAACAATTTATCTATAAAGAGAAGGTACTACAAGTGAATATTTTTACACATTGTTATTATTTTGGTTTGATATTGTCATGTTCTGCCATTTAAATCATTGGTATGAGTTTATCATCAAGCTTACTTCATATGCTTTTGTTGATTGTATCTTAAAAGTGTAATTTTGCTGACATGTACTACATGAGTGGAAATAGCCTTATTTTAAATTACATTTGAACTTTTATGTGGTAGCTGGACACCAAGAAACTGTTCTGTAGTTCTTTTCCCCTTAAATATAAGCATCTGCTTAGTTCTGTTCTCTGTATCCTGTTCTTCCTCTTGTCAAATGAGATAGAAAAATAAACTGATGAATTTTATGCTTTGCAGCAGGCTTTCTTTGTGACTTTAGAGCAAGACACTGATACATCTGTGACTCAGTTTCAAGCAGGCTAGTAGTAGAGGTGTGTTGTATGGATTAAAATATTTAAAATTATCAGGCAGTGTTATGTTAAGTATTATTGATGTCTTAGATAAATGCACTATTGCCACTGTTTAAAACCCTAGTTTAGAGTTTTAGCTCAGTAAATCTTTGTTGTGCATTTATGTTTAATAAATAACAGATACCAATATCATACGTTTAATTTTGTGTTATTTTCTATCAGTCTTAATGACCTTTGGAGACTTGATACTGAGAACTGTGTAATGTGGAAGCCATATAAAATCTTTTCTTATGCTCTGTGTTGTTTTGATTTTTTTAAATGCATGATGTTAACACTCTACTGTTCCTGTTTTTTCTACTTATTTCATTGATCAATGATTAATGACTGTATGCAAAAGATTTTGTAGTGAAATGCTGTAATACAAAATTTTGCTTAAACAGAACTTCTGAGATCTTAGAATAAAATATTTGTAATTGCTAGAAAGCAAGTAATATCTATAAATAATTCCTTTAGAATGGAGTGATTTGAGCCTCTAAACCTATGGTTCGTTACCATGGTAGATCTTATGGCTTCTTATGCGGTGGGGGTAGGCTGTACATTGGAATATTATGGTACCAGTTGATTTGCTTCACCCAGTGAAGCATCTCAAAAGATGTTGAGATAGCCTTATATGCACAAATCTTTATTTGTGGGGTCCATAACAAGTGGCATATGTGAACTTCAAGGTTACATGGAGGAGGGGATGGGGGAAACAAAGGGAGAGAGAGAGAGCAGGGAAAAGAAAGGGAAGACTCCCCAGTGGCCAGCTGGGGAGAGGAGCAAAGGTGACTGGCTTTCTCTGGACGTGCAGTCCAGTACCGCAGGTGGCAAAGTTTTTGCCACTCATCTCCTGTAATGCGATACACTTTCATTGGGGCCTGCTCAAACTCCTAATTTGGTGTTCCAATTTAATTTTCCCTTAATGACTGTCAAATGCTTAATCAGGTACAAGTGTTATAGGCTCACTGGTTGCTAAGCATTTCTCTATATGTATTATCGGGCAGTAGTTACTGGGTATTTAAATGACTGTATCTAATTTGTTATGCACTAAGTTTCATCTCTCTCTAATCTAAGATGAAAGCTACAAGGCAAGTTGTGAAAATAAGGAAGGAGTCATTCCCACATCAGTGGCAGTAGCTTCCAGTGAATCCCTGCTGTAAGGATGATGTTTGAGCTTGCAGGTGCAAGATAAGAAGGGTAACACCATGGGAACGGCAGCTTCAGAGAGCAAAGGAAAGGAGATGCATAGCTGCCATAACAGGCTGAAAGGATATAGAGCTGCAGGTGAAAGGCAGGCTACAGGATTGTGAATGGACAGCTCTTAGCATTACACATCTTAAGGCACTGTGCAAGAATGTGATGCTTCCTAGGGAGAGAAGTTACAAAGCATTTTTCCAAATAAGTCCGCCTGCTTAAGTACCCCAAGAGAAATGGATGCTGAGAAATTTTCACACGTCTTTTCTGAAGGTCTTAGAAGCAGACAGGGAGCCAGGGAGTAGAGCTGGATAATTTCTTATAGCATTGATTGCTTGCCTCCATCACCTTTCTTGAAGGACTGGATGGCTTCTTTTCCCTCTGTATCTGGATATGTGTCTGAGATGATAAGATAAAGAATGGGTGCCTCTGGCAAGATGGCATTTAGAAGAGGGTGTTTGCCACCAGCCACCTCCCAAGTTGTCCTCAGAAAAGAGGATGGCTGTCCAGTGGTCTGATTCAATTACTGTGAAGAATACATATGTTACGTGAATCACAGTGTGGGCAAATCTGCTTTAAGCTATTGATCTCTTTTACTTCAGGTCAAGCTGCAAACTTGCACTCTGAAGCAGAGAGCATCAGGCGTCAATGTGTTGAGTTTCTGCATTATGTTAAAGTTTTCATCTTCAGGTGAGACTTGCACGCAACTTACTAACTTGCATACTGAGCTTTGCGTAGCTGCTTCTTATTCGTTTTCTCATTGTGTATCTGTGTATGTGTGTTCAGGTATCTGGAACCCCCTAAAGTGGAAAATGATGGAATGCTCCATCCGTATGAAGAACTAGAAGTGGAGTTACCATCAATGTTGGTTGAAGAGCTTCATGCTTTGACCATGCACATTGGTCACCTTTGTGAACTTCCTAGTAGTGTCCTGGCAGCATTTACTATTCAACATCAGGCAAAGGTTGATGTCTTTTATAATTTTTGTTTGTTTTGTTTAACAGTACATATTCAACTTGATAAATTTTGGCTAAGTAAGAATCAATCTTTCTTCAGGCTGAAATTGAAGTTATGCTTTATAGGTTAGGTTTTTCTCTCCTTTATTAACTAAGTGCCATCCCGTACTTGGCAAACACAACTAATGAGCTCTGGATTTTCTGTTGTTGCTTTTATTTATCTATTTATTTTTACCTATTTCTTGCACTATACAAATGATAATACCAATTACAGGTAGCTAAGTAGGCTCGAATTAGTGTAGCATGTTTAAAAAAATTCCTCAGTGTTAGCTTAAAATTTCTGAGCTTCCCAGTAGGAAGGATGCTTTTTTAAAAATACATTCTGAAATCGGATTCAAAATAGGAAAAGATCATGTATATAATGAAGAAAAGTGCGGACATGGAAGTGGGCACTGCAACATGAAACACCAGTGAAGTATGCCCATTAAGATTTGTGCATACATATAATAACTAATGCTTTCAAATCTTTTGGAAAGAAAAAAGGAATTTCAGTCTTAGGTTGTATAAACTGGTATCTGGAGAGAAATGATCCACCGAGAAGCAGCATTTTGAATCTTTCTGTTTAGCTTGTCAGTAGGGCCACTGTTGAGCTGATGAAAGAAACAGTAATTTGAAGCATAGATACCCATAATTTTCACTGCAGGCAAAACGTATATCCATCTTCATGTGTCTTAGCACGGTATCCAGAATTTGCTAAAGAAATGTTAAAAATAAATAAATATGTGTATTTGTAACCATAGGTCTTTCCCCCATCATGGCATTTGTTACACCTCCACTTGGATATTCATTGGCTAGTATTGGAAATTCTTCATGTACTAGGTGAAAAAATGATGAGTAAGTATGCAGGGTTTTTTCCTTGAACTTATTTTTGTACATATGACTTACCTAGATTTCTCATCTTAATTTTTCCACAATCATTTACTACTTTTTATAGTTTTTAAGCATAGCTATATTTAATTGGGTAAACTCAAATGTGGTGAAAGCAGGTTCTTTGTGAACCTTCATGTAGCTCAACTTAAATAGTATTAGGAATTTGTCCTATCAAAACTTGACCAAGATTATGAAGTTTGTTCTCAACCAATGCTTACAATGTATTAAATATTTAGTAACAATATACTTTTTGACATTGCAAATAAAAAAGGCATTTGCAGAGATCCAGAATGCATAACAGTGAACAGCAATTTGATGAAAACCAGGTAGGGCAA